ACCACCAACCCCCACCACACACACACATTCCACACCCCCCTTCCACCCCCCACCCCCACCCTACCACCAACCCCAAACACACGCAGACATAGACGCACACATTTAAATACACATCTCTTGGATATCCAGCAGAACTGCCAATGACATGTAGAAATGAGTGATGAGTTCCACTATCAGGGTATTGTTTTGAAGCACTCAACCATATTAAACACCAATATATACATAATGAAAACAATATTGCCAGCTGACATATACTTTATAAGGTGGTTTGGGGCATTGGGCTGGAACCACTGTCATGTCACATTCCATCAATATATTATTACAATACAACATGACAATGTCAATGTCTATGATCATTTAGCATGCCCCTGTCGGACCATAAAATAATACATATGTCGATATCTGACCTAGCATATAACTTATGTGAGTATCACGCAAGATATAACAGTCTTTACGTTTGAATGCCACACTGAAATATATTCAAAATATCTAGTACTGTTTATGCGTATTTATAAGGAGTACACTTAAACCACACCTTTTTTTCAAATAATCATTCATCTCTTTCATCTTTTTTCTTCTGTTTGTTTATTCAAACTGGTTATTTTTATCAAGCAGTTTTTGAAGAATAACACATATATCCCATAAAAACCTTCAAATCCAATGACACCTTTTATACCTTTAAGTGACCAGTTAATGCTTCAGGTGACTCAACTCATTCATTTGTAAACCATGCACGATTTCCATTACAAAGTTACAATTCACACACTGCTAAACAACAAAACACAGTGAACCTTCTGTGTATTATGTAACTCAAGTAAACTTTTGTTACTGTTCAATACACATACCCTATGAGGTAATATATAGATTTACATGAATGAAATTTATATTTACTTAAGGCTAACAATTAAATAGGATGCAGAGAGCAAGCTGCAGATGTATAACTTCAACAGACAGTATTTTCCACCTTGCACATCACAATAATGTGGAAGTCGTTATCTACCCAGGCTGTAATCTCCAAACACTGCAGTGGCTGACACACATCTCATTCATAATCCGCCAGCTCATATCTTACACTGCACTGGATGAACCTCAGCTTACAGGACATTCTGCAGACCCGTAGCCAGCAATTTCAAAAGGGGGGGTTCTTTTTCTGAAAAAGTGGACCTTTCTCCATAAAAACTTCATGTACCTAGGTCACATTTTACCCAGAGTGGACTATTTCCCAGCAAAAGGGGCGGTTCTTTCGAACCCCCCCCCCCGAACCCCCCTGGCTACGGGCCTGTTCTGTCTACAAACCCGGCTCTTTAGTTATGATATGGTATACGGATGTCCGTAAAGAAAAACGTTTCTTATTTCCTGAGCAGAAATGTAAAAATCCTTGATTAATGTGTCACTTCATGGCCTGTTTGATTTTTAGATGTAAATAAAGTTTTTTGTTCACTTTAAAATAATTCAAGTTATTTTTATCTTGAATCTCCGGTGCAGGCTTAGATGCCAATCCGTTAGCACAACACTTAAAATCAAAAAATGAAATTAATAATGATATAGATCTAAGTACACATTAGCGACGAGCTGACTCCTGTAAGGATCAAAACAAAACATCTATCGTGACTCGTGCGACAACATACACCAATATCCTAAAACATCTGACAGCGTCGTTTTACCTTGTTCAGTTTAGGATCTCTCATAACATCAATCCCTCTCAATCGAGTATGAGAAATGCGAACTTCTTCCGCAGCATTTTCCGTCGTGTCTTTCCCGTCCGAAGCCATGGCTGGAATCTCGCCGTGTCACCGGCTTCAGTCAACACAAGCGCTCCTCGCGCCACTGACGTCACGACTTTCCTGATTAATTCCGGAGAAAAAAAATGCAAACGCACAGTTGTTGCAGGGCAGCGGCTGTCATCATCAGATGTTACAACACACCACAGATTGCTTAAAACCAAATGAAACTTTGGTATTTGCAGTATTTATCCTGACTTTGAACTTTTTATGAGTATTTAGAATATCTTGATGAAGTCATTTTAGAACAAGAAACTAATATCAGACACACCCCTTTTAAAGACACGCCTCCGAAACCCACNGCTGCTTTTTTTTTTTTTCACTTTTTTTTTTTTTTTTGCAACACCCTATATCTTAAGGACACACAAATAACAAACAGTTTATCTGATGCATGTCCTGAGCATAAATATAATTTCTAATTATGCTGCCAAGAGCTTTAGTTATGATTTCTATAAACTTCTTCATTTTCAAACCTCCGTTAAAAATGTGCATGGTTATCAGATCATTGGAAAATAAACTAAGAAGACTCTCAGGCCCTTATCAGGTGTGAAATTCAGGCTATAAAATGTCTGTTAAGGTCATCATTTAAGACCCTGGTATTAATATACTTAGGGCTCATCCCCCTTATAGCTATCTGACTTTGGGGGGGGGGGGTACAGGGGGATCTACCTTGGTCTCCTGAACACTAGTCCATATTTCTGACAAGCCAGCCCCACAGTGGGTGTGTACACTATGGGCATCAACAGCTCTATCTGCTCCGTGAGCACGCGATAGAACAGCTTCTCGTTACGGTCCTGGAGCCCTATCAGATAGATGTAGCGGTCCAGATCACTCTCAAAGTGATAGAAGTTCTGTAACACCCTGTAGACCTGCTCATCCTGGGTCTTAAAGCAGGGAGGTACCAGGCCATGGATCCCAACCAACTGACGCTCTTCTAGGGTGAAGGCAAGACCCTGAAATGATTTCAATAACAATACAAATTTCAGATATAATTATAAGTATTCCTTAAACAGCAGCATAAAAAATTCATAAATAGTTGTATTATTTAATATAATAAAGTTCAACATCAGATTTAGTATCAAAGGAATACCCATGTGTTGCTGAGAATGGTCTCCTCAGTGATAATTTAATGCCAATCAATCAAATGTTGTCTTCTGTCAAATCAACCATCATCTTATGTCACCCATTAAGCCTCTTCCCGAAAGGAGAGAATGCTAGTTGTTGGTTTTTGAATATATACATAGCCTTCAAAAAATTAATGGCTTAATTAATATTATTGCACTTCTTTTACATATCACATCAAACCTCTATACCTCCTTGTTTCCACCCCCTTCCACCCCCCCCCTTTCAACCCCCACCCCCACCCTACCACCAACCCCAAACACTCACACAGACAATAGACGCACGCATTTAAATACACATCTCTTGGATATCCAGCAGAACTGCCAATGACACGTAGAAATGAGTGGTGAGCTTTGCTATCAGGGTATTGTTTTGAAGCACTCAACCATATTAAACACCAATATATACATAATGAAGACAATATTGCCAGCTGACACATACGTTATATGGTGGTTTGGGGCATTGGGCTGGAACCACTGTCATGTCTTATTCCATCAATATATTATTACAATACAACATGGCAATGTCAATGTCTATGATCATTTAGCATGCCCCTGTCGGACCATAAAATAATACATATGTCGATATCTGACCTAGCATATAACTTATGTGAGTATCACGCAAGATATAACAGTCTTTACGTTTGAATGCCACACTGAAATATATTCAAAATATCTAGTACTGTTTATGCGTATTTATAAGGAGTCCACTTAAGCCACACCTTTTTTTCAAATAATCATTCATCTCTTTCATCTTTTTTCTTCTGTTTGTTTATTCAAATTGGTTATTTTTATCAAACAGTTTTTGAAGAATAACACATATATCCCATAAAAACCTTCAAATCCAATGACACCTTTTATACCTTTAAGTGACCAGTTAATGCTTCAGGTGACTCAACTCATTCATTTGTAAACCATGCACGATTTCCATTACAAAGTTACAATTCACACACTGCTAAACAACAAAACACAGTGAACCTTCTGTGTATTATGTAACTCAAGTAAACTTTTGTTACTGTTCAATACACATACCCTATGAGGTAATATATAGATTTACATGAATGAAATTTATATTTACTTAAGGCTAACGATTAAATAGGATGCAGAGAGCAAGCTGCAGATGTATAACTTCAACAGACAGTATTTTCCACCTTGCACATCACAATAATGTGGAAGTCGTTATCTACCCAGGCTGTAATCTCCAAACACTGCAGTGGCTGACACACATCTCATTCATAATCCGCCAGCTCATATCTTACACTGCACTGGATGAACCTCAGCTTACAGGACATTCTGCAGACCCGTAGCCAGCAATTTCAAAAGGGGGGGTCTTTTTCTGAAAAAGTGGACCTTTCTCCATAAAAACTTCATGTACCTAGGTCACATTTTACCCAGAGTGGACTATTTCCCAGCAAAAGGGGCGGTTCTTTCGAACCCCCCCCCCCGAACCCCCCTGGCTACGGGCCTGTTCTGTCTACAAACCCGGCTCTTTAGTTATGATATGGTATACGGATGTCCGTAAAGAAAAACGTTTCTTATTTCCTGAGCAGAAATGTAAAAATCCTTGATTATTGTGTAGATTTCACTTCATGGCCTGTTTGATTTTTAGATCTAAATAAAGTTTTTTTGTTCACTTTAAAATAATTCAAGTTATTTTTATCTTGAATCGCCAGTGCAGGCTTAGATGCCAATCCGTTAGCACAATACTTAAAATCAAAAAATGAAATTAATAATGATATAGATCTAAGTACACATTAGCGACGAGCTGACTCCTGCAAGGATCAAAACAAAACATCGATCGTGACTCGTGCGACAACATACACCAATATCCTAAAACTTCTGACAGCATCGTTTTACCTTGTTCAGTTTAGGATCTCTCATAACATCAATCCCTCTCAATCGAGTATGAGAAATGCGAACTTCTTTCGCAGCATTTTCCGCCGTGTCCTTCCCGTTCGAAGCCATGGCTGGAATCTCGCCGTGTCACCGGCTTCAGTCAACACAAGCGCTCCTCGCGCCACTGACGTCACGACTTTCCTGATTAATTCCGGAGAAAAAAAATGCAAACGCACAGTTGTTGCAGGGCAGCGGCTGTCATCATCAGATGTTACAACACACCACAGATTGCTTAAAACCAAATGAAACTTTGGTATTTGCAGTATTTATCCTGACTTTGAACTTTTTATGAGTATTTAGAATATCTTGATGAAGTCATTTTAGAACAAGAAACTAATATCAGACACACCCCTTTTTAAAGACACGCCTCCGAAACCTAATGAGAGTGCGATGTTCCGGATGTTCGAGAGAATGAATTGCGAGAAAAAACTTGCAAAGCGGCCTTTTCCGTTTTTTTCCCTTATTTTTTTCCTTATTTAGCTTTGTACTCGTCTATTTTTGTCTTTCTCTTTGCAAACCAAGATTCCTCAACACAATATTTTAATTGTCCACTGTGCAATGTTCAACTTTAATTAATAAATATCAATTTAAGAATGTATAACCAATTTACAGGGTTAAAAATCATAACGTGTAACCTATAATTTTCTACATTATGAAATTGTTTTTATAATTACATGTATACCATGAGTGCATCTAGTCTGCGTGCGTAGTTGATATCATATAGGCCATGCCTAACTTGCTTTTAAGATATTGAAATATCAGACGTTAACATAGCTAGCCGACTTTATATTGTCTGGTCTTCTTTTAATCTCATATCTTGTATACAAAGCAATTACAAATTGGTGGCATTCAAAAGGTCAAACGGTCGTCGTTGGATAGCCATGTTAATCCTCTGGCTTATCTTTTAGATAACAGGTCTATATCCGAACCACAAAAACCAAAATCGGACTGTAGATCGCGCGGTTTCGGCAAAAGTAGCCCTACTTCATACACATTCAGAAATAGGCCCAACTTATATGTGGGAGGTCTAAAAGCATGCTGTTGACTAATTGTTTCGCCAAAATAAACCTGTAATAGCTTAGAATAATCCCGTGAAAGCTAGCGACCATCGCGACTGTGCACGAAAATGCAGTAGGCCTATAAATATTGGTAGATAGGTGTCACGACGTTTGAAACGCACATTGGAACATTCTGCTGAACAACATATATTTACCTTATTCAGATTTGGTTCCCGTAGGAGGTCGTATCCTCGAATTCTGGGGTGAGATTTCTCTGAATATGGTAGTGGTTTCTGCGGCGGGACTCTCTCAGCATCGACGCCGCCGCTGCAGCAAGACCGTCTCGGACAGCTATGGAAGGCCAGTGGGCGTTCCCTGCACCTGGAGGTCACACCCTGGGGGCCCAAAGGACCGGCTGATCCGAAGAACGTGCTATGACATCTCCAACCGTTCACTCTGCGCACAAGAGACAAAAAAGCAAGTTTCATGTCTGGAACTGTCGTAGCAAATTACCTGTAATGAGTTTGTATCATTGCTGCTGCATTTCACCATAAAGAGGAGAGATTCCAGCCCTTGTAAACTGCCAAGTTAAAAAAAATCTAGACTACTTCCTTGTCTGCAAATTTTGCAGTAATTTTGCACCCCGTAGGCCTACTTTGAACAGCGCTATGGCCGTTGGCGCGTTGTAACGTAATACACGGCAACCATTACGTTGCGTTAAGTTACCATCACGTCAGACAATACGACCTCACCGTTACCACACTCACACTACAGTCAGACAATACGACCTCAGCGCTCTTTGCATTACAACTCGTGTCAGGCAATACTTCGAAGATGTGTGCAGCACTGAGGGTGGGCAATTTATGGTATTATTTCTGAAATAGTTTTCAATGTTTTGGCTGCATGTGAAGAAGTGCGCGCATCTGACAAACGATAGCGAATCACAACTTTGCATAGAAGTTCCACATGAAGACCGTGCTCTACCTTATAACATACAATCATATCGTGTGTTTTTTAATTTAAAATAGGTCAGAGCTTCAAAGCTTTATATATTTCGTTGAAAGTATTCTCAAATGTTTTTTTTTTTCTTTTATTTGTCGCGTGACTCAACAGCAACACCAGTTTAAATTTAAGTTTATTTTCCAAAATTCAATTTATGTATATATATAGGAGAGACAAAACAAGTCAAGTAGAATGCAAGGCATGCTTTCTGTGGTGGTCATTGAACAAAGAACAGCATTTTTACAGTTTCTATTATCTTGTAAATGCCAATGCGCCGATATAAGTATTACAGATGAAGAGAGAGAGAAGCTACTCCCGTTCTTGGCGCAACTTCACAGTTCTGCTGAAATAGTAACCTGTAATATAGGTGGATAAAAATCTCCAAAGAAGTCTGTCTTTACTCCGTTTTTTGTTGCAGCATNGGCTTATATAAACTAGGTCAAACTATTTTCGTCAGAGGTTACTTGACACGATGGAGATAGGCTACAGTGAAAAGGTTAGTGTCAAGTTAGCTCTGAAGCTCAGGGTGCCGAAACCTAATGAGAGTGCGATGTTCCGGATGTTCGAGAGAATGAATTGCGAGAAAAACTTGCAAGGCGGTCTTTTCCCGTTTTTTCCATTATAATTTTTTTTTCCTAATTTAGCTTTGTACTCGTCTATTTTTGTCTTTCTTTTTGCAAACCCGGATTCCTCGACACAATATTTTAATTGTCCACAAAACAAGACCATGACCTGCGTATATGCTCAAATTTAATTAATAAATATCAATTTAAGAATGTATTACCAAGTTACAGGGGTAAAAATCACAACTTCATAGCAACCTATAACTTTCTACATTATGAAATTGTTTTTATAATTACATGTATACCATAAGTGCATCTAGTCTGCGTGCGTAGTTGATATATATATAGGCCGTGCCTAGTTTGCTTTTATTTAAGATATTGAAATATCAGACGTTAACAAAGCTAGCCGACTTTATATTGTCTGGTCTTCTTTTAATCTCATATCTTGTATACAAAGCAATTACAAAGTGGTGGCATTCAAAAGGTCAAACGGTCGTCGTTGGATAGCCCTGTTAATCCTCTGGCTTATCTTTAAGATAACAGGTCTATATCCGAACCACAAAAACCAAAATCGGACTGTAGATCGCGCGGTTTCGGCAAAAGTAGCCCTACTTCATACACATTCAGAAATAGGCCCAACTTATATATGGGAGGTCTAAAAGCATGCTGTTGACTAATTGTTTCACCAAAATAAACCTGTAATAGTTTAGAATAATCCCGTGAAAGCTAGCGACCATCGCGACTGTGCACGAAAATGCAGCATAAATATTGGTAGATAGGTGTCACGACGTTTGAAACGCACATTAGAACATTCTGCTGAACTATACATATTTACCTTATTCAGATTTGGCTCCCGAAGGAGGTCGTATCCTCGAATTCTGGGGTGAGATTTCTCTGAATATGGTAGTGGTTTCTGCGGCCGGACTCTCTCAGCATCGACGCCGCCGCTGCAGTAGGACCGTCTCGGACAGCTGTGGAAGGCCAGGGGGCGTTCCCTGCATCTGGAGGTCACACCCTGGGGACCCAAAGGACCGGCTGATCCGAAGAACGTGCTATGACAGCTCCAACCGTTCACTCTCCGCACAAGAGACAAAAAAGCAAGTTTCATGTCTGGAACTGTCGTAGCAAATTACCTGTAATTAGTTTGTATCATTGCGGCTGCATTACACCATAAAGAGGACAGATTCCAGCCCTTGTAAACTTGCCAAGTTAAAAAAATCTAGACTACTTCCTTGTCTGCAAATAATGCAGTAATTTTGCACCGGTAGGCCTACTTTGAACAGCGCTATGGCCGTTGGCGCGTTGTAACGTAATACACGGCAACCATTACGTTGCGTTAAGTTACCATCACGTCAGACAATGCAATATCTTAGCGTTACCACACTCAAATTACATCCAGACAATGCGACCTCAGCGCTCTTTGCATTACAACTCGTGTCAGGCAATACTTCGAACATGTGTGCAGCACTGAGGGTGGGCAATTTATTGTATTATTTCTGAAATATTGTTTTCAATGTTTTGGCTGCATGTGAAGAAGTACACGTCTGACAAACGACAGCGAATCACAACTTTGCATAGAAGTTCTACATGAAGATCGTGCTCTACCTCATAACATATGATCATATCATGTGCTTTTTTAACTTAAAATAGCTCAGAGCTTCAAAGCTTTTTATATTACGTTTAAAGTTTTTGTTTGTTTGTTTTTTTTTTCCTTTTATTTGTCGCGTGACTCAACAGCAACACCAGTTTAAATTTAAGTTTATTTTCCAAAATTCAATTTATGTATATATAGGAGAGACAAAACAAGTCAAGTAGAATGCAAGGCATGCTTTCTGTGGTGGTCAGTGAACAAAGAACAGCATTTTTACAGTTTCTATTATCTTGAACATGCCAATGCGCCGATATAAGTATTACAGATGAAGTGAGAGAGAAGCTATTCCCGTTCTTGGCGCAACTTCACAGTTCTGCTGAAATAGTAACCTGTAATATAGGTGGATAAAAATCTCCAAAGAAGTCTGTCTTTACTCTGTTTTTGGTTGCAGCATGTCTGCTAGGACACCAGTTATTTTGAACTACACTATATGCTGGACTAGCCATGTTCATTTGTTTTATATTCTAACCGAAATCAATGAGCCATAACGTGTTCATATTTTTGTGCCCTTAAGTAATAAAACAGCAGACATGAAATGAAAGAGCAATAACAGATGTTACACAACTTGGCAAGGACTGACTAAGGATTTAACAGTCCAATTTTTGTTCCAGAATATAATACAACTGTAGTCCTAATAAAATATTCAATTGTTGTGGCACCATACCAACTCTATTCAAATTTATTTAAATCAAGATCTTATTTGCAGTGAAAATTCAGGAAAATCTGCTTCACTGTTCACATAGCTTAAAAAATTCTCACTAAGACCAAACTCTCTGCTGATTCAGTTATTTTTATGGAAGAGTTGTAAATAAAAGATCATCAAGATCTCTCCTGTTACAGAGTACCCAGTTTTCAGCATGCAGTCCTCCATTCACTTATGTTTGTAATGGCAAAGTCAAAATGGCAAAATGGCAAAGTCAGTGATGAACCCCAAATCCCAGGTTGGAACAATGATTGAATGCAAGATGATCAATAACAATGATGATGACAATGATAAATAACCGTGACAATGACGATGACAATGGTAATGACAATGTTTCGGTGCAAGCCACTGAATGAACTTATAAAATGACGATACTTTGTTGCTCACATTGACTTTTTCTTTTATAGTTTTAGTTCTCAAAAGTAACTTCCCCCCAAATTTTTCTAATACTGAGCAAACACAATCTAAGATTTCGCCGCATTTTCTAGTGGACAATCATTTACCAATTTCTTCCGTTTTCTATCAAGTCTGCCTTCTCCTGCGTGTAATGGACAACTTTGTTGACAGCCATTGAGCTAGGCAACCTTACCATACATATGACTGACATAATCTAGGCAGCCATATGCCTCTTAATACAAAACATGTTGCTATGCAATTTCACACTTCTCATTAGCTAATGACACACGATCCAAGGTCCAGCCAATCAGAGCGAGCCCATTCCTTATATGGAGAATGTGATTGACAGACAACATTAAACCACTCCCACAGGCTGACTGTTGTTGCAGTTTTCCTTCTCTGCTCTTTAAAGATATGCAGAAGGCAGCAAGTCCGACCCCTCCAGATGTCTGTGCATGGACAATATTAGGCAGTGTCAGCAGTAGCGCCCCCTGCCCACACAGACCAGTAATTACACAGGAGATACAATGTAGGAGGAATCCCAGGTCAAGCTCAAGTCACAACGCGCATTCATTTGAAATAGTCCCATCGTGTCTGTGCACTTTCAGTCAATCAATCTTATCAATCTCGCCGATGTTGACGCGATCCGGAGCTGCGTGAACAGTGAAGCCAAGGATGCTGGCATCCAGTTTCTGCATCTTCTTCTTCTTGTTTTTCTTGTTGGATTTCTGTGCTTCTGTTTCTGAGTTCAGCCGACTGGGTTGACTTGGGTTGATGGCCACAGCGGGGGCAAAGATGTTGTCCTGCAATATGAGAGAAATCTTTTTAGATTACAGCTGTACACATGATACTATACTGTCACTCACTGAAATTGGAGAAATACTTAACAAGTGCCCACGAGATAATCATCTACCTCAAAGTTCTCAAAACAAAAGGAAAGAATACTTTCAGTCTACAGATTAAAAGCAAAAATAGCACTTTTTTTCTCCCAACCAATATTTAAACAACAAAGATAATGAAAAGAATTTACACTATGTTAATATCTAGCCACTTATTTTTTTCTATTTATTAAAAAAAATCATCGCTTCTTGTTGATTAAGACACCAGGAGTGTTTGGTTATGGTGTGTGAGGTTTTGGATAATTTCTTCTAACGTAGAGGAGTGAGCTGTCTCCCAAAGTTGTACCACCAGCAACACTGTGAATTTCAGTGCCACAATAAAGGATTCTACCAGATCTGATTTATTTAAAAACAAAGAATTCAATGCCTTAAATCTAAGTCACTTTCAGTTTTACACTGGTGGTACAACACCATGCACACCATGTATGTGTGGCTACCAGTACCGTGTATTCCCAGCCTGGAAATGGGGCTTATATATAGACAAATGACTTGGTATATATTTGATCATAATTATAGGATCTTAATATAAAGGGAGACAAATCTTTTAATATGGACCCCATCAATGAGAAGTGTAAAATCACCACCGTTAGCTGACCCTGTAGTTGTTTATGCCACCCACTGTAAGTGTGGAAACACTTTCAACAAGGACAGTGAGTGTGTGTGTGTGTATGTGTGTGCGTGCGTGTGTGTAANTATAACGCCAACAAGTAAAACTGTCTTCCACTTATGGTGTTAACGCTGAAAGTGCACGGCGACATGATCGGCGACGGCGACGGCGACGGCGACGACAGACGCAGGTGATGGCAATATGTACAGACACATCTGTGTCTGTACATAATCACCACCGTTAGCTGACCCTGTAGTTGTTTATGCCACCCACTGTAAGTGTGGAAACACTTTCAACAAGGACAGTGAGTGTGTGTGTGTGTATGTGTGTGCGTGCGTGTGTGTAAATGTGGAACATGCTACCTCAACAAACAGTGCAGTAGGACTACGAAGCCATCACCATCACATGCAAACAACAGAAAGAACACAAACAAAGGTAAACTCCTGGTTTTTCCTCAACTGGATGCAGGTGCCATCCTGTCATTGTACTGGCTCCACAACAGAAGAGCAGGCTGTGAAGCTGGTGAATTATTCCAAACATGGAGCAACAGCATGCAGTGGGAGATGGTTTGACATGGTTTGACATGCAGAACACAGAGGAGAGCAGATCTTTACTTGCTACAGTCATTACACTATAACATGAACACCACACCATCACATAACATGATCATCATAGCATGTCATGAACATCACATTGTAACAAGACAACAAGACATTACAACCATACCATGACATTACAACCATACCCATGACATTACAACAATATAACATCACTATCATTGCAACACACATGGCCGTGGACAACTTCTCAGTGTTCATGTTCTAGCTCCTTAGACTGTAGCAATCCTGCCTCCCCCAGTGCAAAGGACCAGTGGGTAGGGGGTGGGGTAGGAGTGTGATGGGGGTGGGGCAGCATTATCTTACCCCCTGTAGCATGTTGTTTCTAGCAGCAGTCAGTATATGAAATGTCTGGGGAAGCATTGCTGTGTCAGCCACCAGTAGTCAGGCTGGAAGTAGCACACTAGATTAACTGGAGAAAGCACTGGGCAGTATGGAGGTAGGGGCGAGGGACAGAAAGCATAACAAAAGGAAGTTTTGAGGGCAGAAGGGAATAAATAAAAGCAAGCAATCAACAGAAAAGATTTTAATCTAAAATCTAGTGTCAGAAATGGAAAGATCTAAAAGCAATGAAACAGAATGAAAGCATAGAATCAAACAAGGAGGAATCTGAAGTACTGGGGGCATACACTGCACTAGAACCAGCAGCGATGGTGACTAATACACCCCAAACTCTCCTTGGCAACAAACAAAATCTTAGGCGCATTTGGACTTCAGGGCGGTCAATGCATGTCTACATCATCCACATTTCCAATTATATCAAATACAAAATTTTTTCTTACGATAATCCATATAATCTCACAAAAAAAGATAACTCATTAGCTTAAAAACCCATAACAAAGATGCTGTCTCAAATGATTGACTATAGCCAGTAAGAATGTCTTCTTGCCAGTGAAAACGTAGACAGACAAAGGGTGTCTAACATGGCTCCGGCCACTCAGGGACACAACAAATGTTGTAAGTCCAGCAGAAACTCTTTATAGAAATAGATATATAAACATCTAGAAGGAGATGGATATACAAAACTGTAAAATGTTTCATAAGACACTTACATTCATAATTCTCTAAAATGACAAAAAACAACAGCTGTGTCTTAAGTTTCACTTTTTGCTTGAAAT